TTGGCGGGGCCCAGAAGGAGAGCCTTCTCTGCCATGGCCCCCACCCTATGGAACACCCTTCCCCCAGAGGTGAGGCAGGCCCCTACTCTCTTGACCTTCCAGAAAACAGTCAAGACCTGGCTCTGACAACTTGCATGGGGCAGGAAAAGGGGCAACCAACCCTGGGGGCGGCTAGCACCTTGAAGATGCTCCGATATGTTAATATCTTTTCGATCACCAGTATCTTGGAAGATATTATTTATGTATGTATTTGGTTTTATTGTATTTTTATACTGTTTTTATTGTATTTGAACTAATATTTATTTTACTCAAATCACCTGGGATGGAGATGTACAGTTATTGTAAACCAAGTCACTTCCTCATGAGATGGGTGGTGTCTAAATTTGAAATATAAATAAAATATAAATAAATATTAATTTCAACAGAGACAAACGTGAAGTCTGACATTTGTGTAAAAATAATCAAAGGCATGAGTATAAAATGGGGGGACCACGTAAACAAAAAGGTTCTGGGGTGGTGGATCACAAGCTGAACATGAGCAAACAATGTGATGCTACTACAAAATAATATTAATTAGTCATGAACTGCATCAACAGAAGTAAAGATCAAGAGAAGACAAACTCCTCTTTCATCTTTAATCTGTATTGGTCTGACTGTACCTAGAATATTGCATCCAGTTCTAGGAACTGCATTTCAGGGAGGACAACCACAGTGTGTCTAGAGAAGAGCAAACATATTTAATGAGAAGCCCAAAAGGAATGAGGAACAATTGAAGACATTAGATATAGTTAGCCTGGAAAAGAAAAGACTGCAGGGAAAGGTGATAGATCTCTTCAGGTTTCAAAAGGTCTGTCATGTAGGAGATGAGGCAGAATTGTTCAGAGTTGGTCCAGAAGACAGGACAACAAACAATAGGTTTAAATTACAAGGAAATAGATTTTGGTGGGACTTCAGGATTTCCTTCCTGTTATAGCTGTTCAACAATGGAACAGACTGCCTCAGGGAGTAGTGGATTCTCCTTTGCTGGAGATGTTTAAACAGTGCCTGCCTGACAATTTGGAAAATAAGGAAACTTTGAATAATTATGCATGATAACCTTTGCCAAATTTATAGAATAGTTTTATGCTACTGTTTTAAAGCTTATACTACTATAATTATTAATCTTAACCCCTTTTCTCTTTTATTGCACACGTGTAGCCAGAGCAAGTATCTTAGCATTCTGTTTTTTTAATATTGTTTTTAGTCAAAATTCTTTGTATGTATTTCTCCGAACTATTCTGATATTGTTAATTCCACTTTGGATATTTACATATTGATTCCCTTTGTGCTGGTTAATGACCACAATAAAGTCTTTCATTTCAGAATATTTTTATGTCTGCTAAAATGGAGCTTAGTCATCTTTATGCATTTCATACTGAGTATCTGTTGAATCATACAGAGAAAAATTAGTGGGAACAAGAGGAAACATCATGTAAATCACTAGTTTTTATACTGAAACAATACCAAAAAAGTGAAATAATTGATAATGGCTTTCCTATAAATTGGTACAGGTTTGCTCTGACATTCTCACTCCCTCATTTTGAGAGGTTTAAATGACACTGCTCTGTACAAAGCTTCTTTTAATGATCCGTGGGGCCTTTACATCAGAGCAGTCTGACGATCAGCCATACTGGAGGGCAAGCTTCAGAGAAACCCTGCACAGAAAAGATTTGCCCTGTCAGTCTGAGCACAATGAATCATTGGCCCGTGTGTTTATTCCACTATAATATTTACAGAGCCACTCTAGCAAGCTCCTAGCATCTCTTATTAGGTGATTCTCTGGACAACCAGATGAGTTTTATGTGAAATTCCCTTTCACAGATACACTAAAAAAAACAATATTTAATTTGATTTTGGAACCACTGATCTGTTCTATTAGACAGCCCAAGCATACAGTCAGGTCCAGAAATATTGGGACATCGACACAATTCTAACATCTTTGGCTC